AATTTTTTTTATTGGAAAGTCAGATATACAGAGAGGAGGACAGACACAGAGGAAGATCCTTCACCTGTTGATTCACTCCCCAGGCAGCTGCAATGGCTGGAGTTGAGCCAACCCAAAGTCAGGAGCTTCTTCTGGGTCTCCCACATGGGCACAGGGTCCCAACACTTTGGACTGTCCTCAACTGCCCTCCCAGGACACAAGCAGGGAGCTGGGTGGGAAGCGGGGCTGCCAGGACCAGAACGAGCACCCACAGGGGATCCCAGCTAATGCAAGGCGAGGACTTTAGTCACTAGGCTACCGTGCTGGGCCCCGATGTTTACTTTTTAAAGGAGATTCTTGAGACCAGCACTGTGGTAGGACAAGTTAAGCTGCCACCTGCAACACCAGCATCCCATCAGAATCTCTTATTTAAATACTGGCTGCTCTACTTCCAATTCAGCTCTTTTCTAATGTGCCTGGGAAAGCTGTCAAGGATGACCCAAGTGCTTGGGCCACTGCACCCATGTGAAAGACCCAGATGAAGCTCCTGGCTTTGGACCACCCCAGCTCCAGCCATTGCTACATTTGATTGTTCCTATCTTGTTGAGAAAATGTTAAGCCATATCGTCAGCTAGGGAATGCAGAAAGAGGCTATAAGATGCTCAAAACTGCCTCTTGGATGGGTGAAGAAAATCAAGTACAGGGAGAGATGGAGAAAGGGAAGAGGTTGACCAGCTGGTACAGAGCTCTAGACTGAAGGAGTAATACTCAATTCATTAGCTGCATATGGCATGGTGGCTGCAGTTAGCAGTAATCACCATGTATTTCAAAATAGCGAAAATAGGGTTTTCATGTTCTCGCTGCCAAAATATGAAGCATTAACAAAGTGATGGATATGCTAATCAGCTTGAATGGATTTTTCTATGATATATGCATAGGTCAAAACATCACATCCTATATCATAAATATATACAATTATTACTTGCCATTTAAAAGAAAATTTTAAAAAGAAAATTGGTTGTAAAACATCATGAAGGATTCTATCTCAAATCAACGTTGAACATCAGCTTTGTGGCACAATGCTATGAACTTCCCCTGAACACTGGGAGCAAGATGGAAACAGCCACTTGCTATGATTCCCACTTGACAGGAGGGGAGGGATGTTAATGACATCCAGGGAACCATAGGGACCAGGTCTATAGGAACACTGTCACCAATGCTGGGAAACACTCAACAGCCACAAGGAGTCAACATGGACAAGACCATCTCCCACAACTTCATCCAATCAACACAGCCCGAACCAGTGGTCCTTGTGCTCAGATTTCCAGGGCACATGGGGAAATCCCAGGAGCTGACAGATGAGTACACAGGCACACATTTGAGTTCTCAGGCTCTAATGCAACACTCTCCTTTGCAGTGCTGTGGAGTCGGTTTGATTCAAAATATTCAATGCATCTTGGAAAAAGAAAAATGGTTTTTAAAGATGAGTCATCTCTCATTCTCTTTCTTCATTCATGGGGCCAGAAAAGTGGGATTTCTGGCTTAGTCTGGAGGCAGAACACTATAAATACCCAGCCATTAAATCCCATGCAGTGGGAACCTGATCAGGATCTCGTTTTAATTTCCTGACATGAGCTGGCCACTAACCCAATTATCCGGAATCCCCGGAGGAGCTGTGCACCTCCCCAACAAGCAGAAAGACAGTAAGAGCACAGTGCGAGGACGTTGGCCCAGCTTTCACTGCAATCAAATCTCTTTGAGAAAACACTTGGGGAAAGGCAGGCGGGAACTGAGCTGGGGGAGGAAACAGAGCAGCCGGGAGGTGAAGCCAGGTGAGGAGAAGGTGAAGTTTGCAGGGAGTGAGCTGTGTGCAACAAGCAGCCGAAGCAGCACTGCACAGAGCCTAGGGGAAAGCAGTAGTGGGCTGCCCAGGGCCTGCCTGGATCAGAGGCCAAGTCCGTCCACGCCCTCACCGGCGTGTACACCCCCTCTGCCACAGGAATCCCTTATCTGTGTTCTAGAACCCAGAAAAAGGACTGGCCCATGACAGTGCCATCCTCCCAGATTCCTTGGTTCCATCTCCATCCCTGGCCCTGGCCCCTAGCTTCCTTCTTCCTGCTCGTGCAAGCCCTGCAGTCCATGAGAGACTGAGTTCCCAGCTCCTGGCTTAGGCCTCAGTCATGGCCATGTAGGGAGTGAACAAGCATTTAGAATGAATTGCTTTTAGAAGGCAAGACAGGTCCGTGGACAGCAGCTTCATTAAACAGCTGGCTCTGGGCACTCGAGGGCTGTACAGGGGGAAGATACAGGGATGCAAACCAGGACTGGTCCTCAACCAGTTGAAAACATATGAGCTTAGGTCCCTGAGGGACAGCAGTCTTCGGGTACAGTGAGCCAGAGAAACCCACACACCTGGCCTTCTTTGCACCAAAGCAAGAACTGAACAGATGAAGGAAAGGAGAGAGAGAGAGAGAGAGAGAGAGAGAGAGAGAGAGAGAGAGAGAGAGATGGAGGGAAAGGAGAAGCACTCATCATTCTCTCTCCTTCCCTGAATCTGGTTTCAGCCCTAGCCTATTGCCCAAGTCATGGGGGGTTAGGTACCAAGAGAAGAGGAGCAGTTTGAGAGGATGGTGATGTTTGCTTTTTTTGTTGTTGTTAATTTATTTATTTTTATTGCAAAGTCAGATATATTTAGAGATGGGAGGAGAAACAGAGAGGAAGATCTTCCATCCATTAATTCACTCCCCAAGCAGCCTGCAATGGCCGGAGCTCAGCCGATCCAAAGACAGGAGCCAGGAGCTTCTTCTGGATTTCCCACAGATGCAGGGTCCCAAGGCTTTGGGCCATCCTTGACTGCTTTCCCAGGCCACAAGCAGGGAGCTGGATGGGAAGCAGGGCTGTCGGGATTAGAACCAGTGCCCATATGGGATCCCGGCACATTCAAGGTGAGGACTTTAGCTAGCCGCTATACTATCACACCAGGCCCTGATGTTTGTCTTTCCAAGCCAAGTTCAAGTCAGCCAGAAGGACCACCCAAACAAAAGTAGGGGGTCACCACACCTGCTAGAGCCTCTGCCTGGCAAGCACCTAGGCTCCTGGCTAGGCATCTCTCCCTCTGCAGGAGGTTAGTCCCCGTGGAGCCACAGATCCCAGGAAGTGACCAAGGCCCTGCTGGGAACAGACACTAAGGGGAAGAGCTCAGTTTTGTCTAGTCTCTCCCCAGACTTGGGCTTAAGAGATGCCAGACAGGGGGTGGCAGGTACGTCCTGATGACTGCAGGCTCCTCTTCCTCCCTCAGGAGCAGGTCTGCTGGGAGAAGCAGGAGACATGAGCTGTCACTGTGGGTAGGGACCATCAACAATAGGGCTGTTCACGGAGGTATTGACTGGCAAGGGGCTCCCACCAGGTCCCATGCCCGTGTTCTCACCTACCCACAACCCCCAAAACACCACCACCCTGGGGACACACGGCACCTGGCTCACTTCTGGCAGGTGCCCATCACTTGTGCACTTGGCCATGTCCATCCCCGCTGTTCCTCACTTCCTAAGGTGGTCCCCAGAAAGCACCTCTTCTCTCTCCCCAACACTGGCTGGCCCCTTGAGGGCCTGTTCAGCACTGCAACATACTCCAAAGATGGAGTGGTGGTGGCCTCTACCCTCCCCGTTCTGACAAGAGCCAGTGCTAAGACTTGCTTTCAGGGGCCTTGCAGCCCCATTGCCTCCCCTGGTAACACCATGATGCTCTGGGGAAGCACAAAAAGCCGGGTTTGGGAGTCAGGGACCTGCTTCAGCCTGCACCAAGCATGAGGTCCAACTGGACCAACATCTGGTCTTTCTGCAAGCCCAGCTCAGCCTACTTTTCATTCTCACAGATGACCTGTTCAAACCCTCACACCGCAATCCCTGCTTCCTCCCTCCCACTTTTGGAGGGTTCCCCAAGCCTAGCAGCATAAAATCCTTGGTCTGTTAGACTTTTCTCCAGCTCCCTTGGTAATCCACAGAAGGGGCTAAACACACACACTCTCTCTCTCATAACCAAACACACACACACACACATACATATACACACACAAGCAGAGACACAGAAACACTTATACATGTGCACATAAATACACACAAACATACATACTTGTACTTGTATGCACACAGTGGCATGCACACACATACATATATAGCTACAGTCACACACATACACATATGTGCACAAATGCACAGGCACACACAGATATACACCACCTTCTCCAATGGCATTGAATGAGATTCATTCAACCAAGAAGATCCACAGGTTAATGAGGAAGAGTCCCTACAGCAGCAGCAACGGTCGCCCTTTCACAGGACTGGGAACTGCGCTGACGAAGAGAAAGGTGTAGCCTGGGGTGCCTAGCCATGTCCCCACTTTCACGTGTGATCCATCCTTAAAAATGGTCACTATCACACTGACACCACTCCTTATCCTTGAGAGCTGGTGTCTACGCCTGGGACATACCTGAGAGAGGAGTGGGAGCCTGCAGGGAGGAGAAGGGCGAGAGCAGCCCTCTTAGAACAAGAGGGCCGTGTCTTGCACACCTACCGGCAAGCAGAGGATCAGTTTGCTTGTGAGGTGGGCACTGTTAATCCACTGTGGTCTTCTCTGCCACTTTCACCCCCAAGTCCCTGAGGGCAAGCCCTCGAGGGCATGGGGGACAGTAAAACAACCTCTCAAACCTACTCCTTCCAGGGCGGAAGAGGCTGGCTCCAAAGAGGGCCAAGCAAAGGATCCAGAGCCCAGGGGAGTCAGGAGTCTACCCCGGACCTTTAACAGAGAACTCCCAACCCCACCTGCTCACCCTCCCATCTTGCCTGGAAGAGGGCAGCCGTGCACACTCTGCAGTGTGTCTTAGCAAAGAAACAGAAGACATACACACAAAGTAGATGTACCGCCCTAGGAGGAGGGGTCAGCTTGTTTCCTAGCAGCCTGAAACTCTCCTAGGGAGCGAAGTGGCACCAGGAGCCTGGTCTCAGTGGGTCCCACAGGCCTCTCACCTTCCTTCAGCATGCCCACTTTGAGGCATTTCATGAAGCGACAGGCCTGGCAGGACTTGCGCCTCCGTTTCGTGATCTCACACTCGTTGGTGGCCGGGCAGCTGTATTCGATGTTTCCTGCAAGCAGACACAAGAGAGGGGGTTGGCAGGTGCAAGCCATCCAGGGCCCTGACACAGACAGGGACTCACTGGCTGGGCCCACAATTGTCTCCTACCCCTACTGGCCCTCCCAGGCAGCGTTCTTCAAAGCAGGGGCTCTTAGTGTTTCAGAGTCTCTCAGACAGTTGTTCAAGTGCACAAGACTGGTGGGCCAGGGAGGCAGGTAGCTCCCCGGAAAGACACTCTTCAAATGTCTTCCAGAGCTGGGCCACTGGTTCACCAAGTTGGCATCTGAGCCCTGTGCTGACCAAAATGTCCATGCAGATGACCTCTACCACCCAGCCTCCAGCCTTGGGCCATACCCCAGGCTCAAGGAAACTCTGAGACCACAGGTGCTAGGGCCTGGATTATGACATCAGACACCCCTCAACCCCTTGACCAGACCACCAATCAAGATTTGCTGACCTCCAGCCTTTTTTTTTAGTAAGTCACAATTGCCAGTTAACGTCCCACAAGGTTGTAACTATCAGAGCTGGCCCACGACAAAGCTAAGAGCCAGGCAGCTTCATCTGGGTTTCCCACGTGGGTGGCCCAAGCACTTGAGCCATGTTCTGCTGTTCTCCTAGTTGCATGTAACAAGGAGTTGGGTCGAAAAGTAGAGCAGTGGGAATTCAAACCAGCACCCATACAGCAGAGGCTTAATCAGCTACACACAAAGAAGGCGGCAAGATTTTCCACCTGCTGGTTCACCCCCGAAATGATCCCAGTGGCTAGAACTGGGCCACGCTGAAGCCAGGAGGTGCCAGGAGCTTCTTCCAGGTCTCCCACTGGGGTGCAGAGGCCCATGCACTTGAGCCATCTTTCACTGCTCTCCCAGGTGCATTAGCACACAGCTGGATGAGCAGTGCAGTAACTAGAACTCAAATGAGGTACAAGGGTCACAAGCTTGCAGCTTAATCCACTGTACCCCAAGGCTGATCCCACCCCCTTCCTTTTTCTCAAACTCCAGTGATTTCTTTTCTCCTTTTTTAAGGGATTTTTTTTCTTTTTTTTTTTAAATTTATTTATTTTTATTGGAAAGTCAGATATACAGAAAGGAGGAGAGACAGAGGAAGATCTTCTGTCTGATGATTCATTCCCCATGTGACCACAATGGCTGGAGCCGAGCCAATTCAAAGCCAGGAGCCAGAAGCCTCTTCCAGGTCTCTCATGCGGGTGCAAGGTTCCCAAGGCTTTGGGCCATCCTCCACTGCTTTCCCAAGACACAAGCTGGATGGGAAGTAGGGCTGCCAGGATTAGAGCCAGTGCCCATATGAGATCCCAGTGCATGCAAAGCGAGGACTTTAGCTGCTAGGCCACCACACCAGGCCCACTCCAGTGATTTCTTAGAGCATGTGGCTTCTTGGGAAGTTAATTCCCATTATTCACATAAGAGAGCTTAAATTTAAAAGAGAAACAGAAAGAAGGCTGACATACTACAAACAACTCCTCCTGGTCTAGAAGGCACTATGGAAATTGGCCCCCACCTCAGCCCATCCTGTGCTGCCTGGGGAGGCCGCTGTTGTATGCTGCCAACTTCCCTGCACCTGCTCAGAACTGGAGGTCAAGGGTGCAGGTGGATCTGGCCCTGGTCTCCCACCTCATGTGAGTGTGTTCCCCCCCACCCAACCATGGCCAGGACAAGAGTGCTAACAGCAAATTGTAAACAATGCTCTTGACTATCTGAGGACGTGTGTGTGTGTGAGAGAGAGAGAGAGAGAGAGAAGGAGAGAGTATGAGAGAATTCTAATTTTATTTATTTATTTTTGGTCCTTCCAATTTGTTTTATGGCTCCAGAGGCTGACTGCCAGCAAAACCAGGCTGGCGGCACGGCCTTGTAATTTCTGTAAGTGCCTCCTTGATAAAGTGATGAGATTAATCCCTGAATTCCTGCGGTCTCTAGGGGAGTGTAGGAGGGCTCGGGAACAGTACAGGAATCTGGGTAGCACACATGAGCATGCACACACACACACACCCATCTGGGCACAACAGGCTTGAAGCTGGGCTCCTAGAGGACAGGGACACAGCCAACTGCTAGCACAAATCCAGGTTTCTAACCTAACCTGGGAGTGTGTCCAGTGTGGACCCTATGCAGACTCCACTTCAGGCAACCCTGGTAGGCTCATCTAGATCATGAGCACAGTGCACATCTCTCATGAACAGTTTCCATTTGTATGGATTTGGTGACAGAACGCATATAAAGGTTGGTGGGGAGGGGTGCTTTGCGACATCTGCATCCCTTATCAGAGTTCCTGGGTGGAAATCCCAACTCTGCTTCTGATCCCGCTTCCTGCTAATGCACATCTTGACAGGCAGCAAGTGATGCCTCAAGTACCTGGGGCCCTGACATTCCCATGGGAGACTGCTTCTAGTTTCAGCCTGGCCCAGCCCCAGCTGCGGCAGCCTCTTGGAAAGTAAAGCAGAGAGGATTTCATCTTCCTGTGTGTGTCTCTTTCTGCCTTTCAAATAAATGAAACACATTTTTTACAAAAAAAAAAAGATGCATGGACTGCTGTAAGAGGTGCAGGCTGGGCAATGAGGGGTTCTACTTAAGAAAGTGTGGGACCCTCCAGGTGGAATGTCCTGCAGGTGGATGGATACAAGGATATATATATATATATACTTATTTTGTAATTGTATATATAATTTATGTATATATAATATATACCTATGTACATATATATACATACATATATAAACACACATATAAAAGTATCTGTAAAAGTTTTAGTGAAGAACATGCTCCAGCAAGCAGCCAAGGTTGCCATGCCTGTTTTTACTTGCAGGCAGATTTGTCAGGGTGGACGCAACCACAGGGATAAGATCTTCCTGGTGTTAGACGCTAACCCAGCCACGGGGAAATTTGAGGTTCCACCTCGGGCAGGCAGGTCTGGAGCTGAAGCTGACTTTGCAGTGTCTCCTGCTAGCATACAGAAGGGTGGTACCCCACAGCCTCCTGTGTGACCTCCAGGCAGAGGGTTTAACCATCACCCCCAGCTCTCCCTGACCCTGGACTGTCCTAAGCATAAGAAACCCTGGGGGCATCCCCACCAGCTGTGTCTGAGCAGCTGCTGTACATTCAGCAGCCCTGCCCTGAGCCAGTGATGAAGGACTAACTGGCTCGGTTGGCCCTGCTGAGTCAGGACAGCCACAGTTCTAAGTGGCTGCTGTGAAAAGGCTAAGGCTGGTTAGCCCTGGGTTCCACTCCCAGAAGGCAGACACTGTCCCTTTCGTCTCTGGGTGACCTATTGTCCCCCACACTCCGTCCTCCTCTCTTCCTCACCCACCAGCAATGATCTCATTCCTGTCTCAGGCTCTCGTGCTCTTGGCAACGACCTGCAAAGATGCCCAGCCTGTGCCTCCTTCCCTTTTATGCATATGTCTGTGGGATGCTCCTGACCTTATATCCAACCACCTGCAGGATGTCCTTCATGCTTCCTCAGACAGAACCTACCTCCACCCAGGCCTGCATTTCTTGTTCTGTTTCTTGCTAGAGTGGCAGGTGGTCAGAAAAGAAGGTGGCATCTTGGAGTCCTGCATTCTGAAAGACTCCATCCTGTATCCTTCATCCTACTTCCTTGTTATCCCCTCACTCCCTCCACCGATGCCCGTCCCCGGGATGAACAGCCTCCCAGGTCTGCATGCCCCTTTCTGGCCCACCTGTACACTGCCTGGAGATGCCAAGGAGCTTCCAGTGCCGAATCCCTGTCTGGATCCCTGGCTCATCATACACAACGAGCACGCATGTCTGCATGGCTTCACAAAGACCTGCTGAAGGACATGCAGGAGTGAGCTGTGCTCAGAACATTGGGGAGCACAGAAACCCTACAGCCAGACAGGGATATGGACAAAAGGAAGCTGTTCATATGTAGCTCCCCAGAAGCCTCAGGCATAGATGATGACTGCAAAAAGCACTGGACAAAGGCAGCAGGGGCGGGAAGTGTGTGTGTGTGTGCAGGCGGCACTCATGTCCCCACTATCAGTCCAAGTGGCCGCCAAGAATCCCTCCACACCCTGTACCGGGGGACACTGGCTGAATGTCTGCAGATCAGGAGCAAATGGTGTTCCAGACTCCAGGAGCCCAGCCCCAACTAAACGCAAGGGAAGCTGAGGGCCGGAAACAAGGGTCGGTGGATGTTGCAAATCAAGTCATGAGTTCTGCCTGTCTCTAAACCCAATCCCTGAATTCTGGCAATCACCTTACACCCTCATGACTATACCTTGGCATCTACAGGACTCTCAAGAGGGGGTGTAGCATCAGAGCAAAGAGCAGCCAGTGAAGAGAAGTCTTGGGACAACCTTTCCACACCTGTCTGAGCTTCTGAAATCCCCCTCCACCCTCCCAGCCTCCGCTCTCACTCACTCATACGCACACACCCCTTCCAAAAAGCTATTCACTTCTGTTTGCAAAAAAGCCTACCTGACTGACTAATACATTTTTGGAAAGACTAACCAAAACACATAGTAAAAAAAAAGTACAAGGGCAGAAGCCAAAAGCAAACCTCAAAAAGCAACACTATTGTATCATCAATTGAACTGAGGAAGAAGCAGTTCCCATTCATGAAACAAGAATAGCATGCCACCAAAAGTCACAAAGCAGAGCTTGGACAAGGCAGATGTTCAGCACAGTGGTTAAGTCTCCAACTGGGACTTCCATATTCCATACTAGAGTGCCTGCTTCATGCCCCAACTATTCAGCTCTGATCCAGCTTCCTGTTAATCGTAAAGCCTGGGAGACAATGGTGATGGCTCAAGTACTTGGGTCCCAGCCCCCCATGTGAGCTCCTGGCTTGTAGCTGGCTCAGCCTCAGTTGTTGTGGATATTTGGTGAGTGAACAAGTAGATGCAAGGTCTCTCTGTGTCTTTCTGTCTCTGTATGTTTATCTGTCTTTCAAACAAAATGCAAGCACATAAATTTAAATTTTTAAAAAGAGGAAAACAGAGCTTATGGCAATTAAGAATATGAAAACCATCAGAAA